GTACCTGTTACCTTATTGAAATTTTATACACAAATTCTTCCAATGCAGATACCAAACAGCCGTTTGCAAGGATCATTAGATCTTTCTAATCATCATGATGAAAAGTAGTCCTCTGCCAAGGTATAAAAAGTCTTCGTCATTGAATTGTCATTGAGCTAATGGATGTATAAAGGCAGACTCCTGTCATGGCATATGTCGTCTCGAACTCTCTGCAATGTAAAACACAGTCAGGATCTAAAAAATAATGTACCTGCCATATGTGAGTCAATGACTCAATGAAATAACGTTCGTCCATTCCACACATACTTCGTATTACATTATCAATTCACTATATTTAAATCATTTATAAATTTTGACTTTTATTTTATTTATTGATAGTGTAAACTATGCGACACATGATGCAGTCCTTTGAGTCGTGTAAATAAGGCTTCAAGCCAAAATTTATTATGACAGAAGGCATGGTGGTTCGATCATTAGACGTATTTCGCGATAAAAGATCCAAATTTTATTTATGTATTGGGTGGTTGCTGAATTTCTAGCTATGTAAAATTTTTATGAGATTTACCATGTGATTTTTGATATATACAAACTTAATGTCCATTTTCAGTATATAGATATACTGTATACGTAACTACGAACAGGTTTAAAATTTTGATAATTTTTTGCTCGTATAATTAATTTTCGTGATCATAGCTCGAAATTTTAACTTTTCTTATATTATTATTATTAATTTTTGAATTTCGAATCTTGGAATTTATGTTACTGATTTAACTTATGATTATCAGATCACTTTAAACGGTATATGTATGCTGTTTATGAAATTGTACAGTCTTGTTAATAAGTTACTTCAAGATTGAAAACAATGTTATGAAGCAATAAATAATAACGGAATTGAGATTAGAATGTGTGTAACATAAATTGACTGTCGATACTTTTACTAACAGAGTATGGAGTAATGCAGAAAGTGTTATGAGATCCTAATATATTAACTTTAGAAAGGATACAGGTGTCCAGAGGGACCCTACTCTGTTCCATGCCACGTATCACTTCTAGGGTTAATCGAAACTATAATTTTATTATGATATTATTAGATCTCAGACTATTTCCCAAGCGATGGAATTCAAGTAAAGAGAAGTTCTCAATTGAGAGGAAAAAGTTGTGGTAATACAAATATTTAGAATATACAAAATGATTAAGAAGTAAATATGCGAATATTTGGACGTAGGTAAAAATAAAGAAAATTCTTCAACCGGGAGCGACGTATAAAAATAGAAGCTTCACAAATGACAATAACGTGGCGCGGTAACGTTAAAAAGCCTAAATGCACAAAAAGTAATCAACGAAAGGGTTGGATGCTAGTGTGCCTGAGATAGCTTGTTCGTTTATACTTGCAACCATTTAATCGACAGTAAATACAAAATATGATTTACAAATTCATACTCAGGGTTGTAATAATTAAAAAAGTACCTGATCTACGTAACTATTACATCTCTGCGTAGGAAATTGTAATATTGCTAATATGTAACTGTCATTTTGCGTTCATTCGATTACCAATGACAAGTTGGTTCAATCACGAAGGCACTTCCAAGACACGTATCTGAATTTTTTATATGTTCTTTCTAGTTGCTTAATTGTCGCGCATAAAAAATTTCAAAATGATTTACGATCTACTGTATGAGATACGCGAAATGAAAGTAACCAAAATTGCACTATATAGATCTTAAAGCAGGATAAAATTTCTATAAGACACTATTTTTACATCGAACATTACTAAGATGATTTTTAAAATTAAAGTCGTGAAATTTGGAAATAATTTTTTATGAAATTATTTAAACAATTTTGTATACAAATTTAAAAAGTTATAGATCTCTGTCCTTCAGCTTGTTTCAACGATAAATGACGATTTTTCCATGCTTGGCAAATATTTTTGTAATGAATGATATACAGGGTATTCACTAAAATAGGAGTATGTACTATTATTATGATGCAAACCACTTAATACACCGAGTATGGTTTGGATGCCGTCCAATCCAATTGGAATCCTTAGCGTGGCGATATCTGCTTAGCACATATAATTATATATATCGCAAAGGTTATTCATATTATTAACGGAAATAAAATTCGAGCGGTATGAATTCATAAAGATTTATAGGTTAGAGTAGGTACCTATATAAGGTTCATACGTCAATCAGAATGCAGGGGCTGCTGATCAGTTAGTCCACACCTACGGAATAAATATGGAAGCGGGACACGTGCCCCGTGCTGCGAAATAGGTATTCATAGCATGAACGGAATAGAAGATGGGGATCCAGGATCCCCTGTCAACGCTCGGCCGTCAACTAAGCCTTAGGTAATTGCCAGCATCACGGGGGATCACGAAGCATCCTCTGAGCCACGCGACTACGAGTACGTGTTCCACGGGACGTTTAATTACACGTTACATATAGACGCAGGCAGTAGATACCAGTTAAAGTGAGCGCAACAGAGCAGAAAGCAATAGAGGAAAATAGAATATACAAGACGTCTTCATTAAACTGTTCCGAAATGTCAGAGTCCTGCTTCACGAAGGATTCTGCTTTGAGGCTTGTGAATATTTCCGATAGGTGTAGCTAATGTGAACCAGAGTGGGTATGAAATTGTGAATCCCCTTTTTCTGCTTATTCTCCCTAGCTTTTTGATACCTAACCTCACTTTACCTTTATGGATATCGCATACTGTCTCTCTATACCTTTCACTCCTTAGATATGCTTCTCTACAGCCTCTTGTGTTGCTTTACCCCAGCCTATTCTAGGTTAGATTTCAAGGGTATGCACACACACGCACACACACATATACATAGGTGGGTACAACTCAATTCGACGAGTTATTTTACGCATTCCCGTCTCGATATAAATCCCTATGCCATTCATCGAAACGACACCGTTGGCATAATCCTCAGACTCAATGTGTTTGCACATGTTTTACATCGACGCCCCGTCTGTTTGCAGACAGTAAATTATGTCGGACAATGCGCGCGCAACCCCTTCGCTCGCGCTATGGATTATAAAACCGGATAAAAAGTCGGATTTCGATGCTCCTTTTGTACGGGATTTCCGTTTATACGATACCGGCGTCTCGTTGCAGTGCCTTTTGTCCAAGATGTCTTTTTGAGTTTCATCGCTTTCGACGCCATACTGAATTTTTCATTGACAGATGAATCATTCGGGATGATGATCGTGACTCTTTTAGAAAATACATAAATTTCTAGCATTGATCAATACCGTTTTACTCATCTCCTCGTCCTCTTCCAGGGTCACCATGGAGACGCCGCGATGGCCGTCGCTACGCCCTTCGGCGCCTGCGTCACATTCGCCAAATTCCCAAACACCACCCCCAGACGTCTTTTGTTTGACTTTCTTGTGAATTCCTAAAGTGCACGCCTTCTACTTGAAGAATAAATGTTTTGTCGAAAGTAGCGTTAGATTTTCTTGCTAATTTAATATCGCGGGATATTGTAAGAGGGCGCGAAATTTAAATCGTACTAGTGAAATAGCGTTAATGATGAAATATTCTTCCGATGCTTGGGCAACTGTAAGGGTTTTACAATTTATTTAATTTCATTTGATTTCCTCTGGTTTCATTCGGAGGCACGTTCAACACGTTTCACTGAACGTCAAAAGGAGTTAACGTTCTATAAATCAAAATAAAAGGTCGAATCCCCACAGGGCGACGAGTTGGAAAAATCGAATGGGGTATATACTGCCCCAGGGAGTTTTTATTCCACCTAAGACTTGAAAGAGTTACCTGACTATGCTGAGAACAGTGTTCAAATACGAGCAGCCTCTATACCGGGTGCGTCAAAAATTCAGGTACAAGCGAGAAAATAATGTTTCCTCGTGCAGAAGTAAGTCGAAATTATAAAATGAATTTTTTTTTAACGAGTCATGAAAAAAAAACGATTTTGAAAAATTATCGAGTACACTCATAGGTGTTTAGCTATACACGTAATAGCAACGAAAATTTCAAAAATAAGGCAAAGTATGAACCCATACCGAATTCCTACAAAAAAATATCCTATCAGGATAGGGGTGAGCGGACGACAAAAAAAGAAGTCAGTCTTGAAACATTTTTTAGTATCCTGACTGGTCCAGTTCCAAAATGGGAAGTTTTAGGGTTGAACGAGCGATAAGTGGTAATTGATTTTACGCCCCTTGATTTATTGCCTTCTATACAAAAACGGCGATTTGGGGTAAATCGCGACGAATCTCCTAACCCCATCCCTACAGAGCACGGGACAACATGTGTTAACCCCGTTACTTTTAGGGGAGTTTAGGCGAATTTCCATCTTTATCGGTAAAAACTGCGATGTCTCCTTTCCTGTATACTTTTTTGTCCTTCACGCCAATATTCCTTTCATATCAAGCCAGTGTGCTTATATCGCTTCATCAGCTGTTTATAGCAAAGTTCCAAACCAACCCCGTATCCACTTATGGGAACGTATATATATCTTAGCATTGGATATATCCCATGAGGGTGGTCACCCCTTTCCTATAGTTGCTCTTGATCCGACGGCAAACGTCAAAACGTCAGCTAGCAGGGCTCAGCCTACGGCTATGGATTCTAGCATAAGCTGGTTCAGAGCGTCGCTCATCCTCTATACTGATTGTGAGCTTGCCCACCTACAACGTACAATAGAATTCACGAAAAATCGGCCAATACGTACCTGCATTGCTTCTATGGGAAAAGCAAACATACCAAGACTGGTCTCGACTCTTAGTCAGTTATTGCTCCCTGCATTTATTCGATATTTTCATGACTTTTTTTCTACAACTACAAAAAAAAAGCAAGAATTACAGGGGAGGTTTCAAGTGTTTACCGACAACATAGAAATTGCAGAGTACAACAATGTTCAGTATTGCCTTGATAAAGTTACCATCCGAAAAATCTCTTCCAGCTTAAGATGGACGTTAATGCTCTAAAGTGAACATAACATCTATCTTACGAGTTTTTTTAAAAGTATTCATTACTATGAATATAATGTCTTTGAAAGTGCCAAAGTGATGTAAAAAAAGAGAAAAATAATGGCAATACCTCAATAAAGGATGCCCATTCAAGACTGTAGGAGGGGTATCCATTGCAGGAGGATTGGATAACGATCAATGATGGTTAAAGATAACGTAATCGTTAAGCTGTAATAGTTTTCAAGTATGGCGGCGTTCTTTGAAGGCACTTAAGTACATTGAGTGCTATAGGTATATGTTTAGCGCTCTGAAAATATTAGGGAAATCTATAGAGCAGCAAACTTTTTCTCAGCAAAGTTTCATCGGCTTGGCAGGTCTACTAATAGATTGGATTGCACAAAAACAAGCTTACGGAATCGTACAGATCAGCGTAACATAACCTAGGATAAGCAAGCACATCCCTAAATCGCAAGCTGGATCTCATAGCACAACAAGATCAACGTTATAAGAAAGGTATAAGAGACATGTAAAAGCTAAGGAGACGTGTATATAAATATACAGAAGCGTCTCTATCAATGGGCGTCGGATTAGCCTTCATATTCATTCTCTAAGTTTTTTTAGAAGAAACGAGACAGCATTCAATACAACTAAATCCACTGATTCCCCTGCCAACGCATGACGCGACGCGTTCCTGGCTACCTAGGTGCCCGGCCTGTATCCTAACATCTCCAATTCGGTATCCACCCTCTCCAATATGAGCTATTGAATTCATATATATGCGTGGCTCTTTCAAGGAATTTGTAACGCTATCCTGTTTGCAGACAGTTAGAAGGAGAAATAGTGATGTGCCTGATCTGATCTCAAGCACCTTTTTGCACACTTAAAAATTTTCTATAATAACCTCCAGAGCTGCTGGCCACGGGTCTCTGGACTCTCGACCTCGGCAATGGTACGTCATTCGCATAGTAGCCATTTCGCTGTATTCCAATACAGATATATTGGAATGTAGGAATATCGGTTACCAAGCGGCAGCAACGGCTCAGGAAAGTGATTGATAGCCATTCGGGTGTGACCAGCCGTGTAATTCGCGCGCATAAGAGGATATTCCTTTAACCTATTGTCAGTACGTCGGATCTCTTCTCAAAAGTTTGACGGATCCGTTGGCTCGCTTGCGCACTTTTTCGGGAAATTGCCCAAAATTTACCTGGCACTTCGAGACCGTGCTCCAAAAGCGGAAAGAGAGAATGCTCTCTGTTACTCTCATCCGTTCCGCTTCCGTTCCGCTCAAAGAGAGAAACTTCATGACGGCTATTGATGTTATTCAATTTTCAAATAAATCCCGGCAGAGACTTTTGTCAATGATACTCTAAATATCTCTTAGATCTTTTATTATACTTTTTTCATTGTCTTTCCCTGAAACAGTAAATAAGAGTTTATTTATACTTTTCTAGTATATTCGCTGAATTCGATATTTATTATAATTTTTAAGTGGTATTGTATATTTATTATAATTTTTTTTTTCGCAACTCATGGATCCTGTGCCAATTTTTATTTTTGCCTTACAGGGTAGAGGCTAGTACGCTTGTGAGAGTCTCGCATGGATGGTTGGCGTGATGGGAAGTCGGTACGTCAATGGGCACTGTAGATATGCCTACAATATACAAAGTACAATGAACGGGACCGTCCCAGACATTTTCAAGGTGTAAATGGTATTATAGAAATGCTACCTGCTGCACTCTTTGCGTCGAGATTGAAACGTAACGTTGACGCATCGACCGGATCCTCTTGGAATGGCTGAACTAAGACCTTGTGAACACCTAACGACCTTCTAGGAAATCCTTGATGTGTATATATATGTATATATCCTTTTTGTATATTTCTTCTTTTTCTTCACATTCATCTTCTCCATGCCTTTTGCAACTAGTTACATAAAATAGAAATGTCCTAGGAGTATAAAGTACATGAGAATTTGTATGCCGGCTTCGATACTGATTCTAGATGGTATAAATAATATCTGACCAGGCTTGATCTTTAGAAATTTTTTTTCTTATAAAAATCACTGAGACTTCTACAGTGTAACAGGCTGATGAAAAGGATCAAAGATACAATGGGACTCATGTAGAGTCATTCATCAGAAAATACCTGAAGACTGAACGGATGGTGACTTTTGCTTGGGACTTTGAAAATGTCGTACAAGAAACTTGAAATATAGGAATTCGAATGAAAATTTCTAATAGTTGGAGGTGCTACTAAAAAGCAGTCGCAGAACAAGAGGAGGAAGAGAAAAAGGTGGACGACCATTTCTTTACTCTGTTTTACGATTTAAAAAAATGATAGTGGAGTCCTGTGCAAAATTTAGCACCTAGAAGACAGTTACGATGCGCCTTGGAGATGCGGGTACGGCAACCGCTAATTTCACAGTCGTTTAACAAACGATAATTCATCGAGATTTACAACGCACTTCTGACGTAGCCTGCTTTGACATCATATTCCATTAGGGCGAGACGTTCGAAGCTCTATGCGAAATACGACTGATCTTTTTTACGAGTTCTTGTACGTGATAGTTAAAAAAAAAATAAAAAAAAGTGGTATCAGTCGTTTCTGATTCTTATTAGATACTAATAGTCCAAATCAATTCTTTATTGCTTGACATACGTGGACCGGTAGCAAGGTAGCACTGGTAGAGGTAGGTAGGTTGGTAAAAAGTAAAGAAGTTAGGTGAGCAGAGGGATTTGTGAGTCCGCGGGTGGTCGAAGGGTTGAAAATAAGGGCGCGTCAAAATGAAAGCTTGAGATCGGCAAGAGCAGCACTCGGAAGCGATGCACAGCGTGAAGTGAAAATAACCAAATGTCAACATTGTCAGGCGTCAAGGGGTTTATGATCGAATTATAGGGGAGTGCGGTCTCCTGTCGCGAGCTTTTTCTATCAATTACGAAACAATAATGACGGATGCAGCTGCGTCGAGATGCGACACACCCATAAGAGTAACGCAACGTCCGAGGTGGAATACAAAATTGTTAAAAGAAAGAAAAGAGCTACACGCGGTTCCCTCTCATCTCGACCTTTTCTGATGTTGCAGGGGGGCACACGAGAGGGCGTGATAAAGGTCCATTCCGCTCAGAGAGATGTTAAAATGCCGCCGGTCAGCCCATCAGAAAATCGTACAAACTGACCGCCTCTAGCTAGTGGCGAGTCTCAATCGGTATGATAATGGGAATGGTAATTTCATGATATTGCCAATCCTACGAGTATACGTGTACCTACTAGCGAAAGGGTCCCCCCATTATTCCAGCTCGTTTTATTTCTTCATTTTTAGTTCTTTCACGTGCCGCCGGGTGGCGATAGTATCACGTAGCGACGGAGACGTAGACATCAGTGAACTCCGACCGCACATTTAAACTTTTATAAAATTATGTAGACTGTATACGCGTGCGCAGTCTCTCTGCGTACTATTTATGCGCATTAACGACCCGAGCAAAAGACGGGATGGACGAGATTCTCGTGTCGGCACTCGTCAAAGCTCACGGGGGCGCCATCCTCCCGTGCGCTCATCCCGTTCTCGAGGCATCTAATACTCCCGGACGTCCCCGACCTCCCTACGAAAGCCAAACAGCTCATCGCAATAAAACAGAGCTTTGTCGATAATAAAAGAACGTATGTGCGCACATGTTTGTTTGCCTTCCCGTCGCCTCTGATGTCTGGCGCTCACTGACTATGGGATCACCTCTTTCATTGCGGGAAACGTCGCCTGTTTTCTACGACATCAGCTCCATCTCCCAGGAACTCCACGGCAATGGAATCCCGGCTATTTTCGATTGAAACTTTAACGTCTACTTCTAGTTTCTTTTTTATCTCTTACATATTCTAGACTAGACCAGCCCTTCTGACGCTCCTGCTGTCCGTACAGCTTCTCGTAAATAACAACCGGTTTCCATCTTTTTTTTCTGTCTCTTCCATCCAGAAGTCACTCCATATCTTTTAATCTCTTTATGCACAGAATCTCTTGGTATATACCGGTTCGTTCGCGGATATGGTGACGGTTTCTTCGTTGCTATTTCTTTTGGCTCTAGGTGACGATGATCTTTTCAGGAACCGCCCAGTAAGCAGAACGAATGGAAGACAATAGAATGGTAGGCACGAGTCATCGTCTACGTGGACAATAAAAAAAAGAGAAAAAAAGAAAATACCACGGTACCAGACCGAATGGAAGTGGAATGAAATAAGGAGGGCGAGAGGTCGGCATCAACGCTGAACTGAGGAGGACCAGTGAGTACGAGAGAGAATTTAGCGTTCGGGGGGCGGGGGGAGGGGGCGGACATAGTGCCTAGTAGAGGGTGCATCACCTGGTGCAACCATCCATCATGAACTTGAAAAGAAGAAGGGCTCGTACGAGGCGAGGGAGTCCGATAATTTGTCCTCGTCACGTTTGCGCGCCTGTTTCCTACTGCTTGGCGGCCTGGCCTCTCTTCCAAAGGGTACCAAAGGGTCCGAAAGGGTACCTAACCCCGTGTTAGCTCCCCCCCTTTACATGTACACTCTATCGCGTTATAACCTTGTTACGTCGATATATTACCAACGACATCACGCACGGCGATACTCTTCACGTCTATTAACTCCTCGTTCTAGGATATTAACGTTTTGTCCCTGTTTCCAATGAGGGGAAAGATACAAAGAAGCAGAAGGATGATTTCAGATCATAAAACGCACCCGGTACGCGCAGTCATTTGCATGACTCGGATATTTTAAGTTTTAAAAGCCCGGCAATTCTCTACAAGTTGACAAACTGCACAACGGAAAAATCATGGCATGGCTAGGAGTCTCGTAAACTTTCTCTCAATAAAACGTATCCTAGGTAAGACCCAAGAACCTAACTGTCCGGTCCTGTTTTATTGTGTTATTAGGAGCCTGGTATGATCGTAAAGAGGAAAGTGGCCCGGAGTCAGGGTGCGATTTCAAAGAGGCAGTAACGAAGCTTGACGTTCAGGAGCTCGCGAGTGACGACAGAAGGTGGATAACGCCGTCGCTCCGACAATTAGAGCACGTCCTTTAATTCTCTAATTCTTATTTTAATCAACGCGATGCCGTCTTTGTGCATCGCTGCTCCATTGTCTTTGCCACACGCCGTACCTTTGTACACGTCTATGAATAACCTTTTGTACTGCTTAATCAGCTGTTACGTACGCACATCTCAATTACTATTCGTGCTGCATTCAAAGGGTCAAAAGTCTGACTTTCGGCTACTTTCATTGTCAAGGCTATACTACTGACGAAACTTTTTCATAATTGTCAATATATCCTATAGCAGATCTCAAGATTGGATGCTCATATAACTGTACTACAGGCAGAATCAGCGATTGTTAAGAAGTCTAATGAAGTAAGTCAGTTTGTTGAAATTCTTAGATGGACCGGAAGTCCTGCTGCTCCCCTTTATTTCTCAATTGTGTTTGCACAGGCTGACCCTTCGAGGACCTCCTTCTTCCTCAGGGTCCTCGAAGGTCCTCCCAGGTCCTCGAGCTAGTAAGGATACGGCACGCAGATGTTTATTTTGACGCGACCCGTGCTCCTGGGGTAAACAGTTTCTCTTGATCGTTCGAGGAAAACTTACGAGTTTAACGTTTCTTAATACTCAGCTTCCGTCACGCCCTTAGATGCTTTATATTTACCAAACAACCATATTGAGTATCATTCAAGTGGTGTATCATTCAGTCGTTCTGGCACTGACAAATCCTGTAGGACACACGTTTGAAATTGTTAAGAACACCGCCATTTTGTTAAATTAAACCGTTACAAAAGATGGAAATACAAAAGTTCCAAGCACCCTATACACTATTAGCAGTACGCTTGTTCACTTTAAATTTTATGCTTACTTTGACCCTGTAAATACCAAAGTCTTCGTACCTAACCTCCAAAAAGACAGTAGCTGTCTTATGCCAATCATCCCTTTGCAAATGCAAACCGCACAAAAGGCTTCTTCTTCCAGATGCAAGGCAAAATCTACTACAGCTCGCGTGGTCAGTCTCCTCCTTTTGCTCAGGGTACGAATTACTCGGATGTTACCTGATCATTCTCCCTTTTTACTCTTCTTGATCTTCTTCGTCTATCCTTCTGCGTGACACGGCCTTTATCAGCTATTCTGCCTCTCTTTATTTCTCTACTGGTATCCTCTGGCACTAGACTAGACCGCATCACTTTTTTTGAAGGTATCAATTCAAGACAGCGTATAATTCGATATCGATAGGGTAACCCTATCCCAGCGCACACGCAAGGTCTCATCTTGGTTAGTACGTATTTCATGCGTACCTTATATAGAAATAAAACAAAAATTATTATTCGATCGAACCTTTCTTCTTTGTCAAGGAGAATATTCACATAATAGATTCTTGGATGATACAAATTTTTATATGAATTAACAGCTAAAAAAATGTTAATTGAGGAACACATCTCAGTTGGAGGTATACATATATTATATGTAGTACCAATATAACTTTGCAGCTCTATGTGCTGCTGATTTCTATTCTATTATTGTGCCTGACTTCAGGCAGGCGAACAGTCGAAAGTTTAAAAAGTAGAATGAACATGCTAATTTTTTTGTTATACTCGTATACAAATAATTGTAAATACTTTAATTTGTTTCCAGTATTTGTGACTGTGTTAGAATTATCGCGTTTGATAGCATAAATGTATGTTACCAATTTTTTGAACATTGGAACAAAATATTAAAAATTTAAACATACTATTAGAGCCATTGGAACGTTTCGAATGCTATATGACAATAAGTCACAGGTATATTATGACAATAATCATTTTTTGATTCAGTGTCCAAAGTCAGAATGTATTAATCTGCACGATACCAATCAATCAAAGCAAATATTCAGCATTTACAAAACTTATATCACATGTTCAATATTTTTACCAATCTTTTGCATAGTTCTTAAAACTTTTTCAAATAATAAAAGACATTCCGCCAGCTTACCTTACATTTTCGCATGTTTTTGGGTCACCACTTGAAAAAAACTTTTCTCCCTGTGAGAAGATAACTATTAATTCCTATTAAAACGGATGTATCAGTAGAGGATAATTAGTTCTTTAAAATGGTTCTTTAAAGTGTATCTGGATAGCTTGGGGTACCAGACGAACCACCAGCTGGATCGCGAAGACTCCTCCGTGGCAGGCAGTCACTCAGACAGACAGTCAGTCAGGGTAGTTCAGTGTCCATCTGGCGCGTGCGTGACCCCGCCGCATTATCCTGCATCCTGCAATGTCAAGGATCGGAGCAATTGGAGAGCAATTCGCCTGTAGCTTCCGGGCCGAAAAGACTCAAGGAACTTAACTTTTAGGCAAGATAACCGATCCTCTTCGTGACGGGATGTTACAAAGACCACAGAGAGACAACTTCAGTCCTCGTATAACGTAGCAAACGGGTGCATGTCGTTGGACGAGAAATTTTGGAGTACCGACTATTTCACTTCCTTTACTTTTTTCTTTTTTTCTCCTTCTCGGTAATATATTTATTGAACAGGTATTTCCGCTCTTGGTAATCATGTACTATATGTAATGTCAAGGATTGCCACAATTGGATGATAATTCTCATAGAGTTACTTCTCTTCTCCTGGAGAAACCAATACTTTTCGTGAGGGAATCTTATACCAAAACCACAGAGGCTTTTAGCCGGATATGGATTCAATGCACTGTACTATAGATACATACATATATGTATATACTATGTATCCGTTATGGGAAACTAGTCTGTCGATTTTGATGATATATATGTTTATGTTTTTATTTTATTCCTTTTTAGTTCGGAAACAGATTTAGAGTCCCCTCTTCACTCTGCCGCCCTACGGCAATAATTGTATGCTCAAGCGCAAGATCTCCTTGTATCGATCAACTGCAAATCCCATGGAGAGCACTCTTTGTCCTCCCCCAATGCCGATGAAGTTTCACCCTCTTTGCAAAGGGTGCCTTTACGCGCCCATCCGAAGCCCGTTGCATTTATTCCCCACCCTGCTACTGTCACACGATACACCAAGGAGGGTAGCGACCCTCCCGGAACTTAGGGAGACTCACCCCTACGTAGGGGACATTAGCCAATCGGGTTGCGAGCACGCCCAGCAACCTAGCGCACCCCTTCTTATAATTAGCCAATCCGATAGCTGACATATCAGGGTAACTGTCGCACGGCTAGCGAATTTTTCGATATTATTAGCCAATCCTCTTTGCCGTATAGGAACAACCCCTCATTCTTTTGCTCCCTTATGATCAGGATCACGTGACGCTCTTTGATTCCAACGAAATTACCAGCAACTCCACTTTTCTTTCATCTCTCTTATTCTCGTATAGAATTTTATCGCTTCTCTTGGTCCTTATTTCTCTCATTTAGGCTCTTTAAGGAATTTACATGACAACGAACCGGACGTCAGACCCCTTTCATCTTCTCCTAGGAGGAGGCCTTCGTGTTTGCGCGATTCAGGCGCACACGTATCGCGTGTTCTCATTGAAGACGCACCCCTTTGTACTCTGTCATACTTGAACAATGTATCTTGGTGTAATTTATGGCAAGCCATGAGTGTCCGCCGCTGTTATCATCGCCATTTTCTATAATAATAAAAATAAAAATAAATAAAAAGCCATTATGCCGCTTTCAAAGTTCTTATAATTTTGTTTTCCTATTTTAAAATAAATAAATAAATAAAAAAAAAACATTATCCCGCTTTCAAAGTTCTTATAAATTTTTGTACCTATTTTCTCTTCTAAGATTTTGTCCTGTCAAATATATTCGCAGGGAACTCTCTGAGAGAACCCGATAGAAAATCAGAGAAGATGAAGAGATAGAATAAGCGTTTAAGAGCAGCGACAAGACTGGACGAAAAAAAAATGTACAAATGCGAGTAAGCGCCAGGGAGAGAAAGAGAGAGAACTTCTTTGAGCATTACTCGACAAAGAAACTTGCGGATGCGAAACGGTCTAATCTATCCTATAACCTGTACTCGTCTTCTTCTTCTTCTTCTTATACTATACACGTTATTTAGGTTATATACGTATCGGTTTCTCTTACGTCGGCGATCCTCGCCAAGCCTGACACAAGGATAATCCGCTTACCGGCTAAAGGACCTTGTCGTCGGTGGTATTGTCCTCGAGTTTTGTGAGAAAACAGCATTTTCGTCGCTCGAGGTGGCGACAAGAAGGGGCTTAACTTATCTCCGTCACAACAGTGAACGATCCACGCCGGACGTACCTACCCAGTCGGTATAGAAGTAACTGAGAAGTTTTGCAGGGCAGAAAATCGCACGGCCGTTTATTCTCGTTTTACCTGACAACCTGACGTGCTGGATATGTTCACTCTGGAGGCAGGTAGACAAGCTTTTTCCCATTGGGCTTCTGTAGTATAGATGTGGAAAATACAATAGATACTTCTAGAACTACTGTTGTAGCGATAGTAGTCGGAATTATATATAATGATTAATGCTAAGTATTTTGGAGGTTAGGTGTTCAGAATAAAATTGATGCTGAGTATACAGCCCTGGGGTAGACTCGGGTATTATCTAGGAAGGGTTGCCACCCCCTTGCTTACTATACACTATCGTACCTTAATCCAATGAATACGTAATCTCGGTGCAAACACCCGACACGCGGCAACGTTACCGTTTTAAACGGTCGCGATATTTCACGGATTAGCCGCGAATAACTGCTTTGTGCCATATTACATGGGTTTATCGTTTTAGTTTTGAAAATTCGGTATTTCATACATTGTACTGTATATTCATATACTGTGCCAGATAGTCTCAGAGTGTACTGCGATTTTATTTCTAGTAAACATAGAAATATTTTCTGCATAGGTTAAATATACCGATGGCCATTGTACCTTTTTTGGCCACACTTGTCAAAGCTTTTACTTATTTTTTGTATTAATCTATTAAATTTTTGAATTAATTCTAAAAGTATTAGATAAAGTATTCGTAAAAGAAATTTGATAGGAAAATTTACAATATTTCATTGTTTAAAAATGTATTTCTGCCGATTAAAGCAGCTTCGTCCTGTTCGTGACCATTGCGTTCATTTATACGGAATGAATAAGGCCACAACTGGATCAATTTGATGCCCGCATACAGTAATAAAGTGACCAAAAATGGTACATCTACCCTATGCTCAGAATATACTAGGACGTATTTCTTACATGTTCAGGACCCGTTCTGCAATATCAACAATTATTTTGACATGGTTTTCGTAATAATTAATCAAATATTAAGAGAATCCAACTGACCAACCCGAAATTTGTCGTAGTTTTAACCCTTAACTACACAGGTCTGACGTTAGAAACATATTTTACAAGACGAGGTCTGTGAGACCTCAATCTGCGGAACTGGATTGTGAGGCCATTACAAAGAATAGCTCAAATATGGAGTTTTACATCGCTGTGCTTTTAGTTTAAATGAATTCAATGACCAAGTATCAAGTAATAATTATCTAGTAGGTTTTTTGTTAATTCATTGCAAATTTACGTAGAGAGAAATTCGACAGGAAGGCTAAACATAAAATTGGTGAGGTCTTTGAGACCGCACGTGTATAGTTAACGGTTAAAGTCGGAACTCCGTTTTGGGAAAAAATCTTTGTCAAAAACTTATTATTTACGACTCTCGTTGGCATTTTACTCACGTGGCTACGAGACGTCAGAAGTCTCCTTAACGTGGGTCTCACAGTAAACTGTTTTTTTATGAAAATAGTAAATGTGGGTGCCTAGCGAGCGAAAAAGGCTTGTCGATGTAAATGAGCGTGGGGTAACCGATGCAAATAATGATAAACTAATCTGATCCCCTCTATCTTTTTATTCCCTCCGTGGAGACCGATAGAAAATCGTTTGATGGATGACGAACGATTGACCGACGACTTTGTCGGATTTATAATTTTTTTTTCTTACTATTTTCATTGTCCCTGAGGTATTTTCTAAAACGAGGAAATATCGGGAATCGTTCAAATTGCTATCGTGACAGGGATAGCGAAATCACAGAGCGGAAGTACGCTCGATTTAGGTCCGATCGACTCACGGAGACGAAGTTTTCGTTCCATAGAAATCGGTGGCGGGTCACGCAGTAAATTGCGTTACGCGCAACAAAGCGTGGCGCTCGATCGGTCCTGACCGGAGCAAGAAAATCCGATCTCTCGATCACCAGAAAAAACAGGATCCGATCTCACCCGAGTTCCGTAAATGGTTTTGCCATTAATTTCAGAAAACTTCAAACCTTCTGAGGGATACATGACGAGATGAGAATGATTAATCCGTACCTGGTTTACTAAAACTAATATTATTAGTGGTATAAGAACATTCGAGTATTGATAAGGAAAAATTATTATTATTTGTGTCATTATCATTAGTACATTTTTATCCATTGAAAATAATCGAAGGGCTCACAGTCCTCAAAGCGTATCGAATTATCATTGCACTCAAGTCGAGCATGTCCAAAAAATTTTTCAAAAAATTTTCATCTAATAACTCGAAACATTGTTTCCTAGGCAGGTTTTAACGCGCTAAGCGTTTTATGATACTAAGAGAATCCCTTCAATCCCGCTATATTCTACTGGAATCACACAGTTTATCCCTCGATAATCTTTAAACTTTCATGTACGTATTTTAATCCTCAGACAAAGACCGAGAGAGTAAAAACAGCAGTAAAATTGAATAACAACGTAAAGGCAAGAGGAAATACAAAATAGCAGGATACCAGGGACTCTCGGGACAGTTTCACAAATATTTACAGAAATATCCTTGGAGCATATCTCTTGATATGTATACACATAAATACACGGTTATTCAGACTATTGTAACCACCTGAAGATGCTGCTATACATTTGATGTTTATTAATTCCCATGGTAGAACCATCTTCAGGTGATACAATGATGCTAAGTAATCGCGTACACGGTTACTGGGTTATTCAGCTTAAACGCACCACCGGCAAATAAAGCACCCATTTGATTCTTACGGGAAATCCTCGTTGAGGTGGTACGAATTGGTGCGAATAACAATGTACACATGAGATGGAGCCGCCATTAAAAAATACACTCACAACTCTCGTTCATTTTAGAAAAATACATTGGACGGACGTAGTAGAGGATCTTTCCTCATAAAGTCAAAGAGTGACACCAAGGCACTGTACGATCTTTGTTAAGTACATTTGTATAAATTAAAAGCAGAGAACAAAGCAAAAGATGAAAATTATTAGGATATAACGAGACAATGGATACATATTGTATTCGATTATGCGACAGCGATTTGGATGCGAAGACACAAGGGTCAAGGATCGAAACGAATGGCCTAAGAGACAAAAACATGAGGATAAGGACGATAATTACTTTCTGATCATACACCTGCAGTTAATTCAGATGTATACATAATACTTCCTCCCCAAGCACAGTTTCTATTTCTAGTATCCTACGCAGAAAGACACCCAGGTGTCGTCCCATAAGTAGATTCCTTCAGTATACATATGTCGATAAGCATGTCGCAAACTCGCAATATCATACATGAAAGTGTTACGGTTAGGACATTTTATTTAATAAACAAACGCACTGGTTTTTGCAAAAATACAATTCTTTCGTAAAGGCTAAAAAAGATAAAGAACCGTACGCTCTCTAGATACTTGGTAATTGTTATTATCCTTTCGTTAATTAGGTTAGAACGATCGCGTGATAACTGTTTCCCTTATCAGGAGCTTTCGGGGTCTCTCATACACGACCGATTAAATAATCTTTGAGCGAAAGACGTGAATGCAATCAAAATTACGGAGGCTTACAGTCACACAAGTTTTATCATCTTAATCGTGTCATCTCAATATCTACTCTTATATGAGCTTCCTTAGGCCTGGTCCACCGTGTGGAAGTCGTGCACAACGGTAACGGCCTTTCTTTAATTTATGGCATGCGACAGAGCGATGATTAAAGTATCAACATCCGCCAATCAATCATTCAGGATGTATCTAAAGATACCAATCACGACTGATATCAAGCAAAGGAGCCATGCGTCTCCATATCGCTGCTCTCCACTTCATCTTCACCCAGAAATCAATAGGATAAGAAGAGCGTCGAGAAGGAAGAGTAATCAGGGCAAGTGTTCAGGTTATCGACCTCGCCAAATACTAATCAAGCGTCCGGATAAGAACACCAAGCTCACGGAAACCAGCACCAAGTTTTCCAGGAGATGATTGTTTCTTCAGCAGCAAAGTTCGTATCGTCCCCAGCTTCTCGTAGCAAGACAGACATTTGTGATACCTAAAAAAAAAAAAAAAACAATGAAGTACAATGATAAGAGTAACCGAGATAAGGATGCTGTACCAAAGTAATAGTAAACCGAAAAAAAGATTGCTTACCGTTCCTCGCGCGATACGTCTACCCCAATCGTATGTAATGGCGCTTCCACGTTGGATTTAATGACCGGTGCGAAGTTACGTAATATCAATCTCAGGGCAGAACATCCCACAGTAACGTACCTGCAATTTATAAAGAGACATTTTTATACCAGTCCTAGTACCTATGTGTCGGCTTTGGGATTCTACGGCTGTCCGTCTATCTTGTATCCATCCATCCATCGTTTGGAATAGCCTTGGATAACCACGGTTGGCAAGCAGATCACAGTAGGAGGCTATAACGTTCCGCGTCACGCGTTACACTAATCGACCGATCGGCTAATAAATAACGAGGCACGCGAGCCACGGCATGATTCGTCATGCTGGCAAAGGGTTGCCAGCCAGATCGGCCTAGTTGGAATCGGTATGACGAATCGGTATGGGTCATGAATGCACGCCTCTGTAAACCGTGATCTGGGTTACATATATATTCATATATAAGCATGTCCAAGGTCAAGGTTGGAAAATGACGTACACCTTAAATTTGAGCGGTAAATAAAAAATGGTAAATAAGAACATTTTTGTAAGTCTGAGATATCCTTATTCCTCGCTCAAATGGTTTCAGATTATCCAATTACAGAAGGAACCTTAGCAAAGGTGCAGCAACCTCAGTCCGTCGCAGTCTCCCCCAACCCTGGATTTATTCGAGCCACGCGTCACGCGACATTCTCATTCGCATTGATCGGACGTCTCATTTTTTTTTCTCACGACAGCTACGCGTGGAGAACGAGCCGTGAAAACGTCGAGTAGTAGTTATGCAAACTCCCTGTGTACGACTCCCGTATGGCATGTTCTCCTGTTTACGCAACAATTTAACGCGAACTTAAATATTCAACCCTTCTTGCCTAGTGGGCAAATAATGATCGGACATTCTAGCATATTTTATATATATACATGTCTCTATGTAACCAATGTATCAATTAGTATAATCACTAACGAGGGATTAGGTAGGCGACGGTAGGGATGGGTCGCTTATGGAGTGTAAAAAAAATAAAATAAAATGGCCGGGCAACGGCTGCGAGATTTCGGGCTGGTCAGAGCGAATGAAGAAGGAGAATGTGAAGTAGAGAGAGAGAATGAGAGAGCGAAACTACCGAGAACAGCTGCCAAGCGGCTAATAATTAGTCGAATTCACTTTTATGACACTGAGAGAGCATACGTATAACGTAAAACGTGGCGCATGTTAAAAAACGTATAGAAGCCTAGCAAGCCTAAGCGGCCGGTTAAAGTCTAATTTTCAGGCTGGCTGATCCCGTCGGAACCGAGGCCGGACGTAGAGGTATTGTAGCCCTCTTATAAGTCACTGGACGTTACTAATTAAACAATCGAGAAGGGAGGATACTGAAGGTGTGTTCTACGAAACGTTTGTGATTCGACGCGTTCTCCTTCGTTGGGAAAATGCGTGACGGTGTCGATTCAAGTGGAACGGCAAGACAACGGAGTGACAAAAAAAAAAAGGGAACGAGAAAAAATATATTACAGGAAGAAAATTACAAGACCATGCTTAAGGCATTCAGCTAGGTGCTATCGATTCACAAAATAGTTTTACTTGGTGGAACTGAACAATTTTTCAGAGGAAATTATCCGTTATCTTAATTAACAGCTTATCAGGAGTCATGATCTAAGCGTATGTAAAATATTTATATACATATCCGTAAATGCATATGACTGACCTATGTTCTGTACCTAGAATCTTAGCGAACTCATATGTTACGTTCACAGGGCTTTGTATAAGCATATCCATTTTTATATACGAATAATAAAAATGAAAGGAAGTGTGACTGACATATGCGGTGCCTCTTCAAATTTCAATCGAAACGAACAATACCAACGTTAGCGAAAAGGATTCGCAGGGTTCGAATTTGCATCTGTCACTGTCTTCCATTGTCTTGGCTAATTTTCGCGACCCTCCTTCGTCAAGCTCAGGCCGCACACGCCATACGAATACGAATTAGCCATTCCCATAGACAGGAACGTTAGAGTATGCAAACGCGCGCTTCTCCATCGAGTGGAATAGGGTTGGCAGTTCTACACCCTTTTAACCCCCCCCCCCCCCCCC